CCCCTTCCCCCTCCCCCGCCACAATCCTCTTCCTCCTCCCCTTCTCACGATAATGACGATAACATAATCACCACAAGCAAAAAAAACAGCAGCAACAGCAACAGGAACAGCAGCAACAGCAACAACAGCAACAGCAACAACAGCAGGAACAGCAGCAACAAGAGCAACAGGAGCAACAGGAGCAAAAGGAGCAACAGTAGCATGAGTAAAAAGATAAATTTTCTTACAAAATGGTCCTGTAATAGAATAATTTTGATTACAATTTGGACAATTTTTGAGTTGATAAATAAAAATTCTTTTTAATTGAAAATCAAATCCTAATGATGATAATCCATTTATACCAATTATATTTCTTACCTCTTTTATCCATTTATTATATTTTATTGTTATATTATTATTATTATTATTATTATTATTATTATTATTATTTGTTTTATTATTATTATTATTTATACTACTAGTAATGCTACTCATCCTGCTCCCAGTTCCTGTGCTAACCATTGGTGGCGAGGTCGGGGGGGAAACAGTGTCAAAACCACCATAACGATGGACTAACCTATACATATACACAAACAAAAAAAAGAATAAATAAATAAATAAATAAATAAATAAATAAATAAATAAAAGATATATAAAATGATATAAAGGATAAATAAAATAGTAAAATGTATATAAAGGGATCAATTATCAATAGACAAAAGAAGGGTAATATAGAGGGAGAGAGGAAAGGGAAAGTGGATCGATGCAGCAACAGCAACAGCAGCAGCAACAACAACCGCACGAAAAACAACAAAAACAACACCAACAGCAACAGCAGCAGCAGCAACAGCAGCAGCAGGATATGGGTAACGTACAGCTGTGCCCACGATGCTTCTAATAGAGCAAATACTTTGCTATCATGCAGCAGCAACTCATCAGCAGCAGATTTATTCTTTTTGCTTCCCCATACATTTAATATTTCTGCTGCTGCACGCAACGTTGGCTGCAGCAGCACCCGTGACGAACCCATATACCCTAGTAAATTAGCTAATAAATACGCTACCTCAGGCCCATACTCCTGCAGCAACAACAACAGCAGCAGCAACAGTAACAGCAGCAGCAGCAGCAGCAGAAGCAGAATAAGCCTTACAATCATTAGTAATACTATTAGCTAAATGAATAGTAACAGCAGCAGCAGCAGCAGAAGCAGCATAAAAACAGCAGCACCACCACTACCACCAAAACTACCACCATCAGCAGCAGCATCAGCAGCAGCAGCAGTAGCAGCAGCAAGAAGCTTGCAAGGAAATGTATCCTATCTTGATCATTATTACTATTAGCTAGATGTATAATAACAGCAGCAGCACCACAACCAGCAGCAGCAACAGCACCACGACAAGCACCACCACTACCACTACCACCATCAGCATCAGCGTCAGCATCAGCATCAGCAGCAGCAGCAGCAGCAGCAGCAGCAAGAAGCTTACAAGGAAATGTATCCTATCTTGATCATTATTACTATTAGCTAGATGTATAGTAAATTTATGTAAGAAATAAATAGCATCTAATGCAGCAACTTTTGCCATTGACTGCAGCAACTCAGCAGCAGCAGCACCAGGTAAATCACATAATAATATATATAATAAATCCTTTCCTCCTGCTGCTGCTGCTGTTGTTGCTGCTCCTGTTGCTGCTGCTGTTGATGATGATTGGGATGGGGATGGAGATGGGGAGGATGGGGATGGTGATGATGTATCTTCTGCTGCTGTTGCTGCTGCTGCTGCTGTTGCTGCTGCTGTTGCTGCTGCTGCAGTAGTAGATTTAGGTGTTGGTGTATTGCTTCCACTTCGTGCTTTCCGCTGTTGCTGTTGCTGCTGTTGTTGCTGCTGTTGCTGCTGCTGCTGCTGCTGCAATTTCTTACTTTTATCATATATATATTGTCCTTTTTTATTTATCCATCTAATAAAAGAAGATTTATTAATAAAAAATTTATTTATTTCTTTTATGTTAGTAAATACAGCAACAAGACTCCCTCCTGCTGCTATTTGTTTATAATCTATACATTTATTACGCCAAGAATTATGTGCTGCTGCTGCTGCTGCTGTTGCTGATACAGGCTCACCATGACATACAGGACACATCCAACAATCCCCTCCATCTCCTGCTGCTGTTGCTGTTACTCCTGTTGCTTCTGTTGCTGCTTCTGTTGTTGCTGTTGTTGTTGCTGCTGCTGGGGATTGTTTTCGTGCTGCTGTTGTTGCTGTTGCTGCAGCAGCACGCTGCTGCTGCTTCTTCTTCTTCTGTTGGTGCTGCTGCTGTGCTGCTGCATCTTTATGTGGTTGCATGCCTTCCTTAGGTAATGGCATAGGTGGTATCTGTTGCACTTCTGCTGCTGCAGCAGGAGAAAGTCTGCTGCTGCTGCTGCTGCTGCTGCTACTACTACTACTACTACCATTCCTATTGCTGCTGCTGCTGTTCCAATTATTATTACTACTATTATTGCTGCTGCTGCTATTATTATTATTATTATTATAGAATGCAGCAGCAGCAGCAGGACGTATATCTATAGGTAAATAATATCTTAAGGGTTTATAGGTGTATATACACCGTAGATGATAAACACGAGGACAAAAATCACAACATAATAAATCTCCGCATACACCACAAATATAACATAAACTATAATTACATGGACCCTGCAGCAGCAGCAGCAGCAGCAACAGCAGCAGCAGAAGCAGCACACGCACACAAGACATATATATGTTACTGCTGCTGCTGCTGCTGCTGATTTATGATTATAGTAAGGATCAATATGGTTAGGTGTTGGTGGTTGTGCTGCTGCTAATGCTGTTGCTGTTCGTGCTGCTGCTGCTGCTGCTGCTGTTCGTGCTGCTGCTGCTGCTGCTGCACGGATAGGGACTTACATCTGGCTTTATCTGTCGTCTCTGTACCTTCTCCTCTGGTCTACTAGGGACTACAAGGACGGATTTTTGCGGCTCTTGCTGCTGCTGCTGCTGCTGCCTATGCTTCTGGTTAGAGGGTGGTTTCTCCCTAGACTCGCTCCTCTTCCTCGGTGATTCAATGTGCTCAGCAGCTGCTGCAGCGGCAGCAGCAGCAGCAGCAGCAGGTGCGCCAGGAAAAACAGCAGCAGCAGCAGCAGCAGCAGCAGTTGCTGCTGTCTTTGTCACTGCTGCATCTTCAGCAGCATCCGACCTAGCAGAAGCAGCAAATAGTGGCACTTCTCCCTGGGCCTGCTCGCAGCAGTAGCTGCTGCTGCTACTACTACTACTACTACTACTACTACTGCTGCTGTTGCTGCTGCTGCTGCTGCAGTTGCTAAATATAGACAGTTGGCTGTCTCCTTCTTCTGTCTTTATGCTGCAGGTGTCCCCACCGGTACCATCGCTACCTGCATTTGTTGTAGCAACGGGGCTGCTGCTGCTGCTGTTGCTGCTGTTGCTGCTGCTGCTGCTGCTGCTCTTGGTGTCGCAGCTGCCAATGCCACCTTTCTCGCCGCTGCTATTAGTGTGACTGCTGCTGCGCTCGCAGGCGCTGCTGCTGCTGCTGCAGTCCTTGCTGCTGCCAGTATAAGGCGCAGATGTTCCCTCTATATCTGGCTTGCATGCAGCAGGAGCAGCAGCAGGAGCAGCAGCAGGAGCAGCGCTATCGGCTGCTGCCGGCGCTGCTGCCGCTTTCTCGTCGCTGCTGCCTTTCCTCTGCCGCTTAGCGCCATCCTGTACATATAATCCCTGCTGCTGCTGCTGCTGTTGCTGCGGTTGCTGCTGTTGCTGCGGTTGCTGCTGCTTGTCCTGCTGCTGCACATCTGAGAGCTCGTGCTCTCTCTTGTCTTCCCTCTGCAGCGGCTGCTGTTCCTGCTGCTGCTTGATTTCCCTCTTTTTGCTTTGCTGCTGCTGCTGCTGCTGCTGCTGCTGCTCCGGTTCAGGCCTTTTGACGCGGCAGCTCTCGTGCTGCTGCCCTTGCTGCTCTTGCTGCTTCTTTTTCGGCTGTGAGCGGCTTTGCTCCTGTTGTTGCTGCTGCTGCTGCTTAGGCGCCTGCTGCTTCTCCTTCTCTCGCTCCTGCTGCTGCTCCTGCTCCTGCTTAGGCGTGTGCTTATTCTCCTTCTCTCGTTCCTGCTGCTGCTGCTGCTGCTGCTGCTTGGGCGTCTGCTGCTTCTGTTTTTCTCGTTCCTGCTGCTTCTGCTGCTCGTGCTTAGGCGTCTGCTGCTTCTGCTTCTCTCGTTCCTCCTGCTGCTGCTGCTGCTGCTGCTGCTGCTTGCTCTTGGAAGACGCAGAAGCATCGCTATTCCTTGATGCAGGCGATGTCGGCGTCTTACATGCACTTGCGTTCTTGCTGCTGCTGCTACTGCTGCTGCTGCTCCTGTTGCTGCTGCCGCTGCTCTTGCCGCCGCTGCTGCTGCTGCTGCTCTTGCTGCTGCTGCTGCTGCTCTTGCTGCTGCTACTGCCGCTCCTGCTGCTGCTGCTGCTGCTCTTGCTGCTGCTATTGCTGCTCTTGCTGCTGCTACTGCTGCTCTTGCTGCTGCTGCTGCTGCTCTTGCTGCTGCTGCTGCTGCTCTTGCTGCTGCTGTGGTTGCTGCTACTGCTGCTGCTGCTGCTGCTGCTACTGCTGCTGCTGCTGCTGCGTCTGCTGCCGCGGCAGCCAGCGTTTGCCTGCAGCAGCTCTGCAGTTGTTGCAAGATTTCTTAGTTCCCTAGGGAGGACAGACAGCAGTATATCCTCTTCATCTTCTGTCTTGCATGCAGCAGCAGCAGCAGCAGCAGCAGGTGTTGCTTCTGTGGTTGCTGCTGCAGCGGCTGTGGGTCTCTCCTTCTTTTTGTCTGCTGCTGCTGCTGCTGCTGCTGCTGCTGCTGGTGTTGCTGCTGCTGCTGACTTATGTTGTGTTGATGCCTTCTCAGGCTGCTGCGAGGAGCTCTTTCTCTTCTTGCTGCTGCAGCTGTTGCTGCTATGCGACGCCGTCTCAGCAGCAGCAGCAGGTGGGGTAGCAGCCGCTGGTGTTGCTGCTGCTGCTGCTGCTGCACGTGGTCTTTTGCTGCGTCCGCCTGTAAAGGCAAGACAAAGCTCGTCAAGAGAATTTCCTTGACCCGTCAGCAGCCGCAGCAGCTCCCGTTCTACTCCCCCTCCAGACTTCCGCTGCTGCTGCTGCTGCTGCTGTTGCTGTTGCTGCTGCTGCTGTTCCGGGGAGGAAGAGTTAGAGGCACCCTGGCTATCCTCTGATGGAGAAGTTGCCTTGGGCTTCAGATCTATATCTACTGCAGCAGCAGCAGCAACAGCAGCTCCATCTGCTGTTGCTGCTTCTCCTGCTGCTGTTGCTGTTGTTGCTGCTGCTGCTGCTGTTCCTGGCGCTGCAGCAGCAGCAGGAGCTGGGGGGCTGCCTGTGCCATCTGTCATCGGTCAAGGGTGATGTGGGGCGTTGAAAACACTATTGCTGCTGCTGCAGCAACTGCAGCAGCTGGTGCTGCTGCAGTTATCGCCGCCGCTGCTGCTGCAGCAGGCGCTGCTTGCTGCTGCAGCAAAGGAAAAGAAGAGACAGAAGGGAAAAAAGTTTAGCAGCAAAGATCGCAAGAGGTGAGGGGGGCCCCACCGCTGCTGTAGAGTGTATCTACAGCTAGAAGGCCATTGGTATTGTTGCTGCAGCTGGGGTTGCTGCTGCTGCTGCTGCTGTTGCTGCAGTTATTGCTGCTGTCTCTGGCGGGATCAGAGCCAGCTTGAAATAGCAAAACTGCTGCTGTTTCCCTACGCTTAGCCACCTCAGCAGCAGCAGCAGCAGCCGCAGCAGCAGCCGCAGCAGCAACAACACGCAGCAGAAGCCCTCCGAGCTCGCAGCCGAAGGCTACTGCAGCAGCAGCAGCAGCAGCAGCAGCAAAGGGGTAGGACTGTTTGTGTCTTCCTTTGCTGTTTGCTGCAGTAAATGTGTTTAATTAATTGTTTTATTTAATAAATTAAATCTTTTCTTGCTTCTTCTTGCGGCCTTGCTGCTCGCGCAATCACCACCACCACCCTCCTCTGCTGCAGCAGCAATAACAACAGCAGCAGCAGCAGCAGCAGCAAGAACCAACCCCCCAAGGGTAGCGCTTTTTGCTGCACCCTGCGCAGCAGCACCGCATTTTTCTTTTGGTTTGTTTTGTTTTAACGTTATATTCTTAACAGCAGAAACAACTGTAGCAGCAGCAGCAGCAGTAGTAGCAGCAGCAGCAGCAGCAGCAGCAGGAGCCGCAGGGTGTCTTACGAACTGCAACAGCAGCAGCAGCAGCAACACGTTCAATCATGGGTAACGCAAACTCCGCCGAAGACTGCAGCAGCAGCAGCAGCAGCGTCAGCAGCGAAGACGAGGCTTGCGAGCTTGACGGCTCAGAGGCCTTGCATGCATATGATGCTGCTGCCTACACCCCTCCCCTCGAGCAGCAGCAACTGCAGCAGCAGCAACAGCAGCAGCAGCAGCAGCAGCAGGACTGCGACGCAGACTTCTATGATGCATGCTCAGATGGCGACGTCTCTCCCGCTGGAGATTCTCTCGAGGTATCGAGACACCATACACCACAGCAGCAGCAGCAGCAGCAGCAGCAGTTGCAGATTCAGCAGAGGGTACAGCAGCAACTGCAGCAGCAGCTGCAGCAGCAATTCAGCTCCTGCAGCAGCAGCAGGAGAGAATCTGTTTGGCACTCAACTAGCAGCTTAGCTTCTCTTCCGCAGGAAGCAGCACTTCGTGTTGCAGAGACAGCAGCAACAGCAGCAGTTGCTGCTGTTGCTGCTGCTACACAGACACATGGATTATTTGCTGCTGCAGTACATGGACAGCCTGTTACCTGCTGCCGACATAAACGGCATCGCTGCTGCAGTAGCAGCAGCAGCTGCAGCAGCAGCAGATGCAGTAGCAGCAGCTGCAGCAGCAGCTGCAGCTGTGCTGTTGCTCTCCGCTCACGACACAAAAGGCGTCGGCTGCTCATGCAGCAGCAGCAACGGCAGCACCACCACGATCACCAACCGCGGAGCTCCCATCAGCAGCAGCAGCAGCAGCAGCAGGAGCAGCAGCCAACATGCGGCACACCTGTTGCTGTTAGGGGCAGCAGCAGCAGCAGCAGCAGCAGCAAATCGCCTAGGTGTCTGTCACCCCCCAAAACGCCTTGCAGCATCAGCAGTTACCGTAGCAGCAGGATTGGCAGCAGCAGCAGCAGCAGTAGCAGCAGCAGCAGCAGTAGCAGCAGCAGCAGTAGTAGCAGCCAGCCCCTAATGCTTCGTGATACACCTCATCGCCATCATCACGAGCACAAGCAGCAGCAAGAACAGCGAAAGCAGCAGCAGCAGCAACAGCAACAGCAGCAGCAGCAGTCACTAAGCAGAAGCAACTCCCGCCATAGTCTCTGCGGCAAACGCACAGCAGCAGCAGCCGTTGCTGCTGTTGCTTCTCCTCCAAGGCCAATAGCAGCAGCACCTGGGCCATCTTCCCTTGCTGCCGTTGCTGCTGCTGCTGCATTTGCTGCTGCGTCTCGTGTGCCTGCAGCAGCAGTAGCAAGAACGGCAGCAGCAGCAGCAGCAGCAGCAAAGGCAGGGCCACCGCAGCAGCGCAGCAGAAGCCCTACTGTTGCTGCTTCGCAGCAACTCGATTCTGTCTCCCAAGAGCAGCAGCAGCAGGAAAAGCAGCAGCAACAGCAACAGCAGCAACAGCAGGAAAAGCAGCAGCAACAGCAACAGCAGCAACAGCAGCAACAGGAACAGCAGAAGACGGACTCTCCCGAGCCAAACGAATCAGAGAGGCACCAGCAGCAGACGCAACAGCAGCAACAGCAACAGCAGCAGCAGCAGCAGCAGCAGCAGCAGCAAGAGAGCAGCCGTAGCCTGCATCCACTGCAGCAACGTTCTTTGCGGCAGCTGCAGCAGCTGCCGCTGCAGCGCCGCTGCTGCTTGTTAGTTAATTCTGTCTATGACGCATCTCCTGATGTTTTGCTGCTGCGGCAAGGCAGCACCTTCTACTACTGCTTCTGCAAGGTCTGCAGCAGCAGCAGGAGCAGCAGCAGCAGCAGCAGCAGTAGCAGTAGCAGCAGCAGTAGCAGTTGAAGTATGCCTGCAGTAGTGTCAACGAGGGGTAGTTTATATGTCTATATTATCTGTGCTGCTGCTGCTGCTGCTGCTGTTGCTGTTGCTGCTGCTGGTGCTGCTGCTGCTGCAGGCTTTGAGTGCTGCTGAGAAGGAACGACTTTCTTGGGCTTCCCGCAGACCACCTGTAAGTTGCTAGCTACCTGCTGTTGCTGTTGCTGCTTCTGTTGCTGCTGCTGCTGTTGCAGCTGTGCTATCGGCCGCTTATTGTTGTTGCTGTTGCTGCTGCTGCTGCTGCTGCTGCTGTGTTTGCAGTGTACGTGCTGCTGCTGCGGAGTGTCTGTTCACGGCCTTTGCTGCTTTGCCTTCCATCCTTACTTGGGGGACAGGCAAATGTGTCCCGTCTGTCTCCTCCTCTTCGCGGTAAGCAGCAGCAGGAGCAGCAGGAGCAGCAGTAACAGTAGCAGCAGCAGGAGGAGCCAATGCAGCAACAGGTGTAGCAGATGCAGCAGCAGCAGCAAGAGCAGCAGCAACAGCAACAGCAGTAGCAGCAGCAGCAGATAGTGTCTCTGTTTCTTATCCTCAGGATCCGACGACCGAAGTTGTTTGGATGTCGGGAGTCTCTGCACTGAGGCAAGGCTCAGCAGCAGCAGCAGCAGCAACAACAACAACAGCAGCAGCAGGAACAGCAGCAGCAGGAACAGCAGCAGCAGCAGCAGCAGCAGAGGGGCGCCGCCAGGCTTATATAAGTTTTAGGAATTATCCCAGTAATGCTGGGAGGACACCGCAGCTGCGTATTATTGGGTCTGCTGTACCTGCTGCTGCTGCTGCTGCTGCTGCTGGATCTGCTGCTGCTCCCTCTGCTGCACCTGCTGCTGTTTCATCCCAGAAATTTACAGCAGCAGGAGCAGCAGCAGGAGCAGCAGCAGGAGCAGCAGCAGGAGCAGCAGCAGCAAAAGCAGCAGCAGCAGAAATATCTCTACAGATTCGTATTGATTCAAGCCCTTCTGTTGCTGCTGCTGAATCGAGGACGGGCTCATCTGCAGCAGCAGCACCAGCAGCAGCAACACCATCATCATCAGCAGCAGCAGCAGGAGGCAGCAGACTGCAGCAAATGCCTTTATGCCTCTCCGTGCGCAGCAGCGGCGACAGTTCGGTTGTTACTCTCCCTGCCTATTCTCCTTATAGTTCCTACTCAGCAAATGTAAGTGCAGCAGCAACAGCAGCAGCAGCAGCAGCTGCTGCTGCTGCAGCAACAGCAGCAGCAAAAGCAGCAGCAGCAGTAAGGGCGTTAAAGGGAGCGGTTAAGAGGACGTCTTTCTTGCTTTAGGGTTTAGGGTTTAGGGTTTAGGGTTTATGGTTTGTGATATGCAGGCAGCAGGAAAAGGAGCAGCAGATAGAGGTTTGCTGCTAGCAGCAGCAGCAGCAAGACAGCTAAATCCGCAGCAGCTGCTGCAGGCAATTAAGGGATTAAGAACCTTACCTGCTGAGGAAGGAAGAACATATGTTCGTTACATTCGCTGCTGCTGCTACTGTTGCTGTTGTTGCTGCTGCTGCTGCTGTTGGTGGTGGTGGTGCCGCTGCTGTTGTGCTGTTGCTGCAGCTGTTGCTGCTGTTGCTGTAGCGGTTGCTGCTGCAGCTGTCCATGTTCGTGTATTTGCTGTTTACCCTGGAGCTGTTATCCTGTTGCTGTTGCTGCTATTGCTGTTGTTCATGCTGCTGCACCTGCTGCATGACTGTTGTGTTGTTGCTGCTGCTGCTGTTGCTGCTGCTGCTGTTGCTGCTGCTGCTGCAGTTATTGGCAGTCTTTGCTAGAGAGAAGAGGCAGCAAATGCGTCTGCAGCAAGAAGCACGCAGATATCAGATGGGGGCCCGTCTAACCCCTCTCCCTACTAGCAGCAGCAGCAGCAGCAGCAACAACGGCCACAGCAGCAACAGCAGCAGCAGCAACAACAACAACAGCAGCAACAGCAAGACACATCAGGATGTTACTTCTGATGCCGTTTGTAGGTCACCTCCAGCCAAGCGTTTTGCTCTTAGCTCTGCTTGTAAGTTCGCTGCTGCTGCTGCTGCTGTTGCTGCTGCTGCTGTTCCACTTACTGCTGCTGCTGTTGCTGCTGTTGCTGCAGCAGCTGCTGCTGTCTGTTATTGCATGTGCGTCTCTTTCTTTCTGCTGCATTTGCTGCAGCATCTCCCTTTGCTGTTGCATCCTCTTGCGGATATAACGATACACCATCCCCCGCACCCCCATCAGCAGCAGCAACAACAGCAGCAGCAGGAGCAGCAGCAGCAGCAGCAGCAGCAGGAGGAGGTACAGGTGAATTATTTTCCTTAAGATTAAGATGTTTATCCTTAATAAAAGAAGGAAAAGAAGAAAAAATAAGTCTTCCTTCTCGATCTATTTATTGTAGACATGCTAGTTGCTTCGAATTAGAGGATTTTTTGCTGCAGAATTTTGCTGCTGCTGCTGCTGCTGCTGCAGCTGCAGCAAATGCAGCAGCAGGAGGAGGAACAGGAGTACAACAACAACAACAACAACAACAAACAGCAGCAGCAGCAGCAGCAGCAGCAGGAGGAAGGATAAAGACACCATGGAGGTGTCCTCTATGTGCTGCCTCTGCCTTACCTCATGAATTATATATATGCGGATTCGTGCTGCAGTTGCTGCAGCAGCAACCTGTAGATACAGCTGGTGTTGTATTTGCTGATCAAGATCTGCTGCTGCCTATTCCTCATAGAAGAATTAAATATAATAATAATAAATAATTATCCTGCTGCACCTGCTCCTGCTGCTGCTGCTGCTGCTGTTGCTGCTGTTGTACAGCAGCTGCTGCTGCTGCAACTGCGCCCGCGGCGCAGTTGGGGTAGTAAGTAACACTCAGGGAAGCGCTCCTGTTGGAGAGGCCTGCAGCAGACAGCAGCAGCAGCAGCAGCAGCAGCGGCTGTTGCTGTGGTTGCTGCTGCTTGCTGCAGCTTTATTGAGAGCAACAAATGTTTTTGCTTTTGCTGCTTTTTGCTGCATATGCTGAGGTGTATACGCAGCTAGGGATTATTAAGGGAAGCAGCAGCAGTGTCTGTCCCCTTCCTTTCCCTTTTTTGTATCTTAGCAGCAGCAACAGCAACAGCAGCAGCAACAACAGCAGCAGCAGCAATTGCTGCTGCTGCTGCTGTTGTTGCGGTGCAACAAGAGACGATGAATATTTTTTGCCGAGGGGAGGCAACATCTGCTGCTTTGCTGCTGCTGCTGCTGCTGCTGCTGCTTTATTGGTGCGGCATTTATGCACCTCTGCTGCTGCTGCTGCTGCGCCATATGGCGATGGACCAGCTGCAGCAGCAACAGCAACAGCAGCAGCAGCAGCAGCTTTTTTTTGCAGCAGTTGATTGGACTGTACGTACAGCTCATTGACGTTTTGTCTTTTCTTTTGTTTTACTAATCGTCAGGTGTATATACACTGCAATATTTTCATGCATGCAGGTAGTATAATAGTTTATTTAATTAATTAATTAGTTTATTTATTTATTTATTTATTTATTTTATTAACATTAGAAGGCATTAAATAAATAAATAATTATTTATATTTAGAGGGGGAAGGACAGAAAAAAAAAAAATAAGGCCTAGCCACCTGGGGATCGACCCCACAAATCGGGGATCGATCCCACGAATCGGGGATCGATCCCACCCCACAGTATATGAATCGGGGATCGATCCCCACCCCACAACTCATGAATCGGGGATCGATCCCACCCCACAACTCATGAATCGGGGATCGATCCCACCCCACACCTTCGGGATCGATCCCACCTCCCATCTCGGGGATCGGGATCGATCGCACGCCTTGGGGATCGGGATCGATCCCACAACTTGGGGATCGGAATCGATCCCACAACTTGGGGATCGGGATCGATCCCACAATTGGGGGATCGACTTTTACTGTTAACGGAAATTGAATGTCTTATACACCCCAACAGGAATGCTACAGTCTTGTTGCTGCTGCTGCTGCTGCACTTCTTCATGCTGCTGCTGCTGCTGCTGCTGCTGCTGCTGCTCCCTAGCTAGCTATAGGTGTCTTATTTGTATTTATTGTTAATATAGATTAGTACTAACATTAATAAGAAGATAAAAAGACAAAAAAAACAGCAAAAAGAGACAAGACATCCCTTTTTCTTTTCTTTCCTGCTTACGTCTTTTTTGTCCTTTTTTCTTCTTATGAGTATATAAATATACATAAATATAAATAAATAATTAATAAACAATTAAATATAAATAAATACATATATAAATAAATATATAAATAAATATACTATAGAGGATAAGACAACTAATATTTCCTTATAACCAATAGACCTAGGGAAGAGCAAACAATATTAAATATATATTATATATATTTTATTATACATTATATAACTGCTGCTGCTGCTGCTGCTGCTGCTGCTGCTGCTTCTACAGTAAGTCTCGCTGCTGCTGCTGCTGCTGCTGCTAATAGTAGGAAGGGAGAGAGAAGGGAAAAGGGCAATAAAATGATTCTTTAATGAATAATTCATTAACCTTTACTTACTATTTTATTAATTAAAATAAATAAATAAATAATTAATTAAATTAAATGAATATATTTCCTCTAAAAAGAAACAAACAAGCAACAGACGTACCTAACTTACCTGCCTATACACCACAGACATAATCATCATCATATAATTTATATATATATTGAATAAAGAAGATAAAAAACAAATAAAAAATAATAAATAATAAATAAATATAAATAAATTTCCTCAAGTATATATATATTTGCATGCAGCAGGAGCAGGAGCCGACTGCATGCATGCATGCATGCACGCATGCATGCAGCAGGAGCAGCAGGAGCAGCAGGAGCAACAAGAAGAAAAAGCCCCAAGAGGGGCCTGCCCCTGTGGGGAGAAAAGGGTAAAATAAAGGAAACTTTTATACTTTTGTATATTTTTCTTTTTTTTTTTATTTTTTCTTCTTTTTGTTGTTTTGTTTGTTTTATTGATTTAATTTAAATCATAAATCAGCAAAATGGCGACAAATACAAATGTAAGTATTTTCTTCTTCTTCTTCTTGCTGCTGCTGCTGCTGCTGCTGATGTATTTATCCTCCTGCTGCTCCTCCTGCTGCATTATAAATATATCTATTATTGTCTTTTCTTCTTTTTTTCTTTTCTTATATAATAGCAGCAAGTGCAGCAGCAAATGCAGCAGCAACTGCAACATCAGCAGCAGCAACTGCAACATCAGCAGCAACAGCAACAAGGAAAAGAATAATAATTATTATTATTATTTATTCTATTTATTATTAATAATTAATTAATTAATTATATAAATAAATAAATAAATATAATTAAATAATTAATTAATTAATTAGTTAATTAGTTGTACATATATACACGTATATATACTCATTTTTTCTCGTTTTTTTCCTAAATAAAATAAAATATATAAATAATAAATAAATAAATAAATTAATTTATTTATTTATTTATTTATTTATTTATTTATTTATGTATACAGATATCTAAGAAGAGGAAGTTTGTTAATGATGGTGTATTCCATGCTGAATTAAATGAATTTCTTTCTCGTTGTCTAGCAGAGGATGGATATTCAGGAGTAGAGGTAAGAAATAAATAAATAAATAAAATAAATAAAATAAATAAAATAAATAAATAAATAAATAAATAAATAAATTTAATTAATTGTGTATTTATTGATGGGTGTATTTCTTATCTATGTTGTTAGTATG